TTGATGACTCGAAAGAGATTGACGGAATTTGCCACCCTTCTGTATTCAATATGCAGCCTTGCTTCTTATTGATATGAAAGAGTTGTGACCATTTGAAAGTAGGGTCGTAGCGCATTTTATAGAGGGCAGTTCTCAGTTTGGGTAACTTTTACTTAAAGGAGTGTTGTACACATTTTCTTCAATATTGTCTTGTGCTGAGTACTTTGATTTTCATAATCATAATCTAGCTATTTCTCCAGGTATTCATTTCTGTATATTTTGGGTGCTCTAGAACTTAGTCAATTATATTGTGTATTCAGTAATCAATTAGATTACTTGAATTTTGCATTGCTTAACTCGCTTTCTTTTTGCACTAGGGTTATTAGCTTTAGATATTTATAAATCATTGATTCTGAATTATTGTTTCTTACATATTGAAATCACTATTCTACAAATGTAGTATAAGACCTACTACTTAAAAAAAAAAATTTTTTAATGCTTTATACACCGTCAAACCAATCAACATCGAAGAGGTGTGTCCGACTCCATAACACATTAATATGTACTAAAGCACACCCTCTTCGGAAAGACTCATTCCCCCTGGAACTTCGGGAAGGGTCTCTTTCGCCAATATAATGTTCTACTAGTTATTCGCAGTTTAATTTCATTTCACTTTTCAATAACATTCGCTCTGTTTAACATGTCATTATTATATATGATTATTTTTATTATTTATAATTATGTGCATAATTTTTAATATACATGAATGATAATAAATTATATTGTTTTACTTTTCCATTTTTATTAAATTATTTACTTTTGATTTAACTTCATTGTTATTCACAAATTGTGCTCAATAACTTAAAATTTTTAATAAAAAAGTTTTTCCTATACTAACATATACTTTTCCATAAATATTTTTCCAATTTAATAGATTTTGATCAAGATGGGTTTATTGGTCATGGTGACCTTATGTCGTGCCTCACAACGATGACTAAAAACGAGCTGAGTCCTGAGGAGCAGCAGCAAATTGCTGATAAAGTTATTGAAGAGGCCGATGTGGATGGCGATGGCAAGTTATCCTTTTTGGAATTCGAGCATGTCATCTTACGTGCACCTGACTTTCTATCGACATTTCATATAAGAATATAAATGCAAATAAAATATTTTTCAATATTTGTGTTTTCATTGCTTTCGATACGAGTAGATAGAACGTAACATTTAAAATAAAATCAGAATCAATTTTGGTTATTGTTCTGCTTGAAGTGCATAAGTCCATAAAATTGCATTGGTTCCATTGATGCAGTAAGGAGCAATGTCAACATTGGGTAAAGTTTTTAAATTGCAAAATAATAAAAAATATTATTTGGACGCATCAGTTGCATGTTTGCTCCTGCAATTTCCTTGCATCTGTGGTCGTAACTGCCTTGCATTTTCAGTCCTTCCCATAGTTGGTTGTGGTCATGTTTGCTCGCATACCGCAAATCATTTACATTACTTTGGTTTTGCTCAGAGATTTATATTAAATACCTTTGTGATATTTGCAAATTACAAGTGTACACTGTACATATTTTCAACATTGATAAATATTAATTAATTTTCTCTGCTTCATTTAAGCCTTTCACATATAATTTATTGTAAGTTAACAATTTTGGAAATTGCTTCAGTAAATAAAATTATTGCTGGAGCAAAATAATTCAGAGTGAATGTATTTATGCAGATAACAGATTTTCACTGAAATATTCACTGAAATAAAAAATTGTGATTTATTTCAGATATCTACATTATTTAAGATATATATCCATTCAAGTTTGCAGTTCCCAGATTTATACGAATATAACATATTGTATTACTGATAAAATCTAGTAAAAATATATATTGTATCCTTGTCCAGTATTTTGAATACTTTTAAGATTTATTATACTTAGTTATATGGATTTAATATGTTTGAACTTCATGTCAAACACTTCGTCCCCGCTATATACTAATACCTCGATTTGCGTTGATTCGATTGCATCGTCAAAAAAAAATATGCTTTGGCTTCGATTTGCGTCGTTTTTTAATACATGCGTACAGAGGGAATTCCCACTTCATTCCTTGTAGGAGACATTTTCTAAAAGGGGATTTACATGTATTAAGTTTTTAGTTAAAAGGTGTCAGTTTACATTTGTGTGGTAAAGTTGAAGGGTAAATCCTTAGAACAAAAGTTAGACACGTTAAAACGTTTTAAACTAAAAGAAAAATTTGCTCACATTAGTAGAATTCTGGGCTTAGCTCCAACTACTGTAAGAACAATTTATTATCGTGATGCGGACAAGATAAAGGACTATGGAAAAGCTGCCATACATTTGCAGGCCAAAGAAATTATAAAAACTAGACGTCTATTAAGTTTAAAAATGGACTCCATTTGGATAAAAAATCAGACTTAAAGGTTCTGTCGATATTCGATGAGTTAAAAAGTAATTCTCCATCAACAAGTCAAAAACCAGAATATTTTTGGCAATTAAATATGTGGAGAATTGTGTTTCGGTTCGGATTGTTTCGATTTGCGTCGCATTTTGTCGGTCCCAATTAACGACGCAAATCAGGGTATTATTAAACTGACTTTAAACCAAGTGCTTATTTTTATAAAACTTTGGAAATAATTAAGTCAAAACGGTAGTGAGTATTATTGTCTCTTTAAGTTCCGCGAAATCGTTAATACACTACACTACCATAGAACGTATAAGTGCATTATGGCGGATATAACATCAATACAGCATTTACTCCAAAATTGAATTTAAAAAGTTGAAAGCCTCATAAAATAAAATACAATACACCTTATACTGTTAGGACTTAAGTACATAAATGATATCAATCAAAGAAAATTTAAAGTGAATATAAAATCTATTGTGTTATCTTTGTAGAAAGTGTTGTAAATGAACCTAAAGAAATTTAGAATACCACCACATCTAATAACATCTATTGCTTTTATAATTTAAACTCATGCGATTCAATACTCGTACTGTACTATACTAGTGTCCTGTCAATCGCAAGGGACGAGCAAATAAGATGTGCGAAAATTTTATTCATTTGTATTAAGATCAAACAATTTTTACGTGTTCAGGAATGATTAAACGATCCATATTGTACAATAGCAAACTTGTTATGTGATTCTGTTTCTTAACAATGAATGACAGTTCTGTGAAGCATCCAACATTTATTTTACTTATGTGAAATGAATATGGAAAAATCTAGAAACATTCTTATCGAATGCTTAAAATTAAATACCAATGGACTTATCCATCTAAGCAATAGACTTATTGTTCATATAATATAATATGTGGCACAACACAAAACTGTCGATGGTGCTCGTTGTAAGCTTAAAAATCGGTTGAAACAACTTGGATTAGCTCTGAGTCGCAGTGTACAGCATTCCCCACATTTATAATAACAAAAATAATAATAATAATACAATTTAAAACAAATATTTTAGAAGTCTGTAAACCCTTAAACTATAAAAAGTAATCGCGAGGATTTGTTATTTATACGTCTATGTCCCTTGTCACCAAAATGGACGTCGCTGCACTTAAGCCTCTAAGTGGTTCATTTCGAATTTGTTTCCACGACTGTTGTCAAAATTTGATAATTTATATGAATGATCCGTAACCTTTATTCTTATTAGGTCATAAATTACAATGTAAAAAATTACATACTTCCATATATACAGAGTGATAGACTTAGAAACTTCAACAAAAACAAAATGAACTTTTTTATTGGGTTTTAGTTAACGAAACGTTAGTAACCCTCCTAATGCAAACACACGAATAATTATTCAATATTATATTAAAAATAAAGCACTTTTTGTACTTCAAACCTATTCCCTTTTATACTATGCAATTAATTTCATGTGCTGCAAGAGACACTATCTGCTTTATTGAAGCACTAAAAATAATTTAACCAGTAATTTGTGACCATCGTCTTAGATTAATGTGGTTTTTGGGTTTTATGACAATAGAAATAATATAAAAAATTTTTTTAATTATATTACTTATTGTTTTATTTCATATTAAGCCCAGTATTTTTAAATATCTTCGGTGATGGTTAAATTATTATTATTATAGCAAAAAGAATGATAGAAGGAATTATTATTTTTTTTTTCAATTTATACGTTATTTGTTGAATCTTATGTTTGGAAACTAACAATAAGTATATCAAAACTTAAAAATTCAATTTATTTTTTCCCTATGGAAAAACTGTGGAAAGCTATGGAAAGTGGAAAATGAATTGAATCATTAAATAATATAAAATAAAATTAGATTCAATTAATTAAATCAAACTAAACCAAATCGCATTTACTTAAATTAAATTAAATTAAATTAAACAAAGTTATAACATTTTAGATCAAATAAAACTTCAGTGAAATTAGCAGATGTTAATTGTATCTTTCCTTTTTTAATCCTTTGTGGTCTTTGTTCAGGCCTTTGTTATCAGCTAATTGATTAGTATGGTCTACTAACTTTAACAGGTCCTGAAGGCTACTTTGAGCAGCTTCTTCTATTACTATTGATGCGCCCAAGTCTCTATGAAGGTTGCACCTGTTGTCATTCTTATGATTTTAGATTGCAGCGTTTGCAGCATTTCAATATTTGATGGCATCGCTGTTCCCCACATTTGAATTCCGTAACTCCATACAGGTTTTACTATTTGTATAGCGGGAATTTGGAATAAAAGGAGTTATTATTTAAATAATATTTATTAATATTCTCTAAGAACTTTATTTTGGTAGCATTCAATTATATTTAGTGTCTATTTACTGATCCATCCTTCATAATAATTGGATTATGAGGTAGAACTTAGTGGACAAAGCATATCCACCAAAATAGACAACTTGCTGTTTATATCGTAAAGTAAATTGTAAGGTCTATGTTATACAAGGAATCATGGTCACGTGTAATTTGAAAATATTGTTCTTTTCAATCTAAATCATGAAATTAGGTATGCATACGATCTTAAAGAAAAATTTAAAATTACTATTTTATATATAAACATTTCTATCTGAATTTGATGAGGATGATTTGTATTTCTCCTTACTTTGGTCAAAACTATATTGGTCAGTAATAAATGTTAGAATTTGCGCATATTTGGAGTAAATATGTGTATTTTTGATTGGAGATTTAAACACAAAAATAATTATGTGTAATTTAGTCAAATATTTTTAAATGTGATATTTAAAACATATCAAAATTTTTGTAAAAGTCACAAACTACAGCTCCATCAAAACTGAGCTAATTACAGAGGCTGGCGATGCAAGTACTCTCAAATCACACAAAAGAAAAATTCAAACTATGAAATTTCACTGAACCTTGACCTTACTAGGATCAAAAACGTTACATATATGACTCAAACAACTGACAGATCTAGTACTTAATTTCGCCAAGAGATACAAAGTTATCATCACATAAAGAAAAGAGTGGAATGCCAACCCAACAGGATTACATAACCGTGCAAAAATGATATACAGGTGTTGGAATAAGAATAGTGGAAATCAGAGCATTCACATCAATTACATTAAGTACACACTCCACAATTTTTCATACTCAGTGTTATAGTAGAGACCGTAGAGATGTTATCCAAAAGAGGACTAAGAAGAGTTAAAATCAAAATACTTTCAGACTGTCAATTAGTTCTCAAAGTTCAAAACAATTACTCAGATCACTCAGTCCTTATAGAGTGTAACAATGCACTCAAAGGTTTGAACATCATTCTCAATTTAGACAATTGTCTAAAGTCACTCTCTGGTGCACTAACATGTCACCCCGTCTATAGTAAACACCTGCATGAAATAGGTATATCCGACAGAAATATTCGCAGATTCTGCTGTGATGAGGAAGACTCTATGGAACATTTGATCAACAACTGTGATGCACTACACCACAGATGACATAAAATTTTAGGTGCATACGAGATACTACATTTCTGGTAGCAGTGCATAAAGGCCTAAGCCTAACCCATAAACTATTACCATTTCCATCACGTTTCCATTAACAAATACATTAAATGTGTTAATAACTATTGAAAATATTAAGAATGTATTTTATTATTTGTAAAAGAATTTATAATTTATTGTTCTAACGTGCAGTTGATTATAAACAATAGTCAATATATTGCTG